ATATACAAGCTATCTCTCTACCTAAATATGCATCATCAATTTTCTCTTAATATGTAAAGATTATACTCTACACCTTCCGTCTCATATTAGTTGATCACTTTTTTTTTTACGCGCATATTAAGAAATCATATCGGAGGATAGTTTTACCAATTCACCTCTTAAGAACTTTTTTGGAACTTTACAAACAAGTGTGCATACTTTCATAAAATATTAATTGCAAGGGTAGTATGGGAAAAATCAATTAATATTTTCTTGATTTGGTAAAGTGATCAACTAATATGAGACAGAAGGAGTAATTATTATTGTAGCTAGGTTGTCTTAACCTGATGGTGTGGAATACTCCTTCCGCCTCTATTTGTTTGTTAAATTTTGACTTGACACACCTATTAAGAAAATAATTATTAATATGGTGAGTTTAATATTTTACCTCAATTAATTGATAGGATCCCCAAACATATTTACTTACTACATTTTTCAAAGATGTTAACTCAATGTTATTAAATTGAGGATATAATAGAAAAAAAACATTGTTCTTCCTTGATTTGTCAGAGATGACAAGTAAAAAGAAAAATCAAATTAGAAAATATTTGATAAATAAATAGATACGGAGGGAGTAGTTGTTCACTAATAACATAAATCTTCTTCTTTTCTTTAAGAATCAAATAATTAAATTCTAATATTTTTTTGTGTTTATCATTCAGATGCTGAAAGAACAGAAACTGTGATAGAATTCATCAACAAAGTGAAGAAAATCAAGATGCCATTGCAGGGAAACTCAAAATTGTAACAATAAAGCTAGCAAATGTAATTTGTGACTATAATTTAAATTTAAATCCATATAGTTTGAAGTCAAATTAATAAATTTGCCCAATAATCTTGAATTTGCCTTTACATTTTTGATGTAATAACTTGAGCAAATTATCTTTGCTGTGAAATTTTAATTTGGTGTTATTGTGTTGCATTACTATTTGGTATAGTTATATAAACTACAAATTCTAGTACTATGCTTAGGTTCATGACTATTTAGTATATCTTTTTTTTTCATGTCCTGTCCTATCCCACCCCGTTTAAGCAATTTTTGCACTGTCCTTCCCTATTAACGATATACCCGGTCTTGCTTATTGCCAACTCTATTTTTGTTAAGAAATATATTGGCTAGTATACATTTTCAATACAAAGAGTTTTTGTTGTACAAGTGTATTCATTATAGCAATTTGTTTGCTATGTTTTTAGTATAACAATCGATGCTCAAAAAAAATAAAAAAAAATCAATCGATGCTCTTTAAAATTTATAAGTCAATTTTCATTTAATTTTTTTATATATATTATTGTTAATATATAAAACTTAAACTTATAGATTAATGACATTTGTCATTGCCTGTGAAGCCATGGGCTTATGACTTCAATCCTAGTAATATTTGGGCCTTAGATGGGATTTGAGTGGGCTCGTATAGGCCCATTAGGCTATATGAGCATTACCACCCCAATTTAAATTAGTATATTATTAATCGGTTTTAAATTTCAGAATTCATAAATTTAATTATTTTTTTTGACAAAGCTAGCAAATAAATTTAAATTTTGAATTCGCCCATATCCACTCGCATATGTACTTTTAAAGCCCTTATTTTCTTATTCGTTAACCCCTTTTTGTTCTTCCTTTTTAACAAAAAGAAAAAACAATCGTTATAGTTCACTCCTACTCCACCATGACACAACTTCAATCGGAAAATATTTACTTGCACCATCAAAACACGGAACATGACTCTAAAAATAGTGGTGCCCCGAAAAATTCATGATCTGTCTACCAAATTAGGTATTTTACATATATATATATTTTAGAGTTAATCTAATATTGTCAGTTAGCATTCATGTTCCAAAAGCGTTAAATGCTGAACTTATAGTTGAAATAATGTTGATTTATTTATCTAAAGGAACAAGAATTGGTTCCACTCACTACCTTTTTTTTCTCGTGTCTTTAATAATGCACTCATATTCTTGAAATTCAAGATCCACCTCCGGCGGTGAAAGGTTTGAAAAACTACCAAGTATGTTTCCATGAATAGTGTTGAGAAAAGGCAAAGAGTCAATGTTTTTTACTATATGTGTGGAAGCATGAATTGAATCATTTCATACAGTTACCCTATTTTTAGCACTGAATTGATTCTATCTTTAACTTTTTAGATTACAAAAAATTGGGCCAAAACCTACTATGCAGGTAATGGAAGTCATTGATAACCCTAAGCATAGTTTGTGGTACTTTCTATTGCTCGGACTCGAGTGTAGGCGTCTGATATGGTTGTGGATTTAGAGGTCGGACTTTTCATGATCTAATTTTTAAGATTTGGAGATATGGATCCATGTATGTGACTCCGCCAATAATCATAATAGTCTTTGGCTATGTTTTTAAAAAGTTCACATGAACTTGTACTATTTAATAACAATAATAATATATTTAGTATAATTTAAAACTAAAATCTAAAGAAATAAAAAACAAGTAGATATTATACATGTATTTTATTCTTATTTTATATGAGATAGTGAATTAATTTATAATAGAGGATGCTCGATTCAAGAATAGTATTCAGTATTCAACTTTTCTGAAACTTAATTTATGTGATCTTGTTGCATATTGTAATACTTAGAAGCACGGAACTTAAAGTTTATAAATTCATATGATAATTTATAAATAATAATGATTGAGTTCAAAATTTAATATAATAATTCTAAGTTGTTTGAAGAATTCTTTTCGTCTGATATTTGATATTCATATTAAAGTCTATTAAATTTAAATTCCCGCTAAAGCCCAAAAGGCATTTTCCAAGCAAATTTAAATCCATTCGCTCTATTTTACATAACACTATTTGAAGTACGCGAGAGTCAAGTTATTTAAAAAAAAATTGCAACTTCAGATAAAGAACTTTTAAAAATTTTAAGAATAAAATTTAAATATATATTGAAACTACATAAAAAATACTATACGTCCAGTATATGCCTCGGTCTCCAAACCCAATCAGAAAGAGGCCCTCCGACCGAATCTCAACCTTCAACTCGACGCAATACAGCACAGAACATGCTCCCTCAATTTCTAACTTCAATATAAGTCACAATAATTAATAATTTAAAATATTATAAGACATAAAAAATAATGAACAATCAAAATGAACTCATTTAACTCTTAAATAGTTATAGTAATCGTGTCACTGTACTTTGATTCAAAAGGTAATCGATAGTTTCAAACTATCTCCACTTGCTTCAATCGTAATCACTGTTCATTCCGATTAACTTCTTCATTTATAAACCTTCATAAAATTTCAAAATAGCGTTATGCTCTAAAAAAAAAAGGACGAAAGGCTTCCATTCTAGAAGCGGTAGTTTCCCTTCTCCCTCAAGGCGAGAAGTCTTCTTAGAGCCTGTTTGGATTGGCTTAAAAAAAACAGTTTTTAAGTAAAAATTAAAAGTCAAACTAAAATGACTTTTAAGTCAAAAATAAAAAGTAGGGAGAGCCTTACTTTTGGTTTTTGACTTATTTTAAATTATTTTTTATATTTGTCAAACACTTTCAGAAGTCAAAAACTGATTTAAAAATAGGTTTGATCAACTTTTAAGTCAATCCAAACACCCTCTTACTGTTCCCAGATGTTTTGATGATCTCCTCACAAATGCAGGGACCCGGTCCTCTGCAGAGTCTGCTTGTCCAGGCCCATGTGTTGTACAATTGGAAAGTTGTCGCGTCAGAGTTTGGTGAGGTCGTCAGTGTACCACACCAATCAGAATGGACGAGGTTGTTTGTCCAACGGTTAATAACTCTTTATGGTTGATATATTCAACAAGACAAACAACACATCACTCATTCATTCAAAGAGAGAATATTCAAGCTTCAACAAAATAGCAAGGGACCTCATAGACTGACGATTTGCTTCCTGGACCTGCTGTTATTTTGATTGCTTGTATTTGTGCTTACATTGTAGGATTCGTTTCACTTGTGTTAGAAACGTTTCAAAACTTGGGTGAATCACTGCAAGAACTTAGTAGAGGGCAACTTTGTATTTTACGTTAAAAGTTTATATTAATCAGTGAGGGTTAGTATAGTGGGCAATGCAGGCATTGCTTTGGCTCGTTGAGTAATAGTTTGTATTACTTAGAATAAAGATTAGGAGGTTAATCTCTTGTGTGGTTGTAAACTGTATTTTACTTTTGCTTGAGAAGATTAGTAAAATCAGTTTGAAAATCATGTGAGACATGTCGTGGTTTTACTCCCTTTAGCAAGGAGGTTTCCACGTAAAGTTGTGTGTGCTATCTTTACTTTCAGTATCCTCTTTTGTTTATCATAACTGTGTTAAGGACATGGTCCTATCGTAGCTAGTGGACGCATACATTCCAACAAGTCTACTTAAAACAACGCCAAAAATCGACCAAAAACCCGACCTCCGGAGGTGGATTTTAGCCTAAATAGTTTTTAAAATAATTTTTTTTAACTAAATTGACTATTGAAAGTTGGGTTTTTAGTGCCAAAACCCGAGAAAGTACAATACATAGATAGATAATCTAACTTAGTCACAACTAGCAACTGAACTCACTCTGAATGCCACATCTAAACACCTTGACTTTTTTTTATTATGCCAGTTTGAACATTCTAACTTACAAAACGATCATCTATACACCTCTAACACTTATGTGTCACGTCAGATGTCCACAAACTACTACAAAGACGAATTGATGTATCTAAATATGAATTTTAAAAGTTTGGATCTTTATATTATGTCTTATTTTAAACAGTGTATAGCAATAGAAAGAAAAAAAAAGTGTAGGTAGGTGATAATTTACAAGTGAGAATCATGACCAAATGCGTTTTCAAACCTTTAAGATATTCAACTTTAACTTTAAATATTCTTCTCCTTTTCAACCTCAACCAAATATTATCTAAAACACTCAATATCCCAAAGATATTTAATTACACACACATTTTATTATGCGACTAAAAACAAACATTTTAGTTTAAAATGTCAAAGTACAAAGAGTGTCTCAAGAACCACGCCGCCGGTATCGGCGGCCAGGCCGTTGACGGCTGTGGCGAATTCATGCCTTCCGGTGAAAATGGTACCGTTGACGTCTTCAAATGCGCCGCCTGTAATTGCCACCGTAATTTTCATCGGAAAGAGACCGTCCACCACCACCACCCATGTGGGTACTTCCCATATATTATGCCGCGGCAGAGACCTCTAGCGTTACCGCTAACTTCTGGAGGTACAGGTAATAGTGTTCTCACTTACCCTCCAGCGTGACTTGATCAAGGTGAAAGTGTCAACATGTAATTTTTTATGATACGTTAATTATTAGTAATAACTTTATCGAAATGATACACTTTCTTAATTTGTCCAATTTATTTAGTATTTTTTCTTTTATTAAGATGATGTAATTATAGTCGCAAAAATTAGGGGTGTGCAAAAACTGATTTAACCAATAAACCGAACCGAAAAAATACTATTGGTTTATTGATATTGGGTTATTGGGCTAACGGTTTTTAAACGGTTTTGCAAATTTTTTTATTGGGTTATTGGTTTGGTTTCCGGTTTTATAATTTTTGTTAATGGTTAAACCGATAACCCAATAAGACTATACTAAATTTACTAGTCTTATTGTTAATGGTTAAACGATTGGTACTTTCACACTTTTTGTTAATGGTTAAACAATTGTTACTTTCACACTTTTTCCTTTGAATGTGTCTAGTGTCTAAACTTGCAAGAAAAATGATTGTTACTTTTATGATTATTACTTTCATGTCAAATGCTGGAAAAATCATATGGTTTATTTGAAAATTTTCTTATTGTGTATATAATATATATAAGTATTTTCTTATTGGTTAAACCGAAAACCGAACCGTTAAGTACCATAAACTGATTAACCAAAAACCGATAAGAAATATGTTATTGGTTTGGTTATCGGTTTGAAGTATTTACAAACCGAAAACCGATAAACCGAACCAATAACACCTAAAACCGAACCGAACCGACCGATGCGCACCCCTAGCAAAAAATGTATGTGGGTCGCTTAAGGGGAGTTTTAAAAAAATTCTTTTCTTTATTAAGGTAAATCTGTCACATAAATTTGGACAGAAGGAAATATTAATTAGTTATATAGATTATCTTTTTTTAAAAAAAAAAAACTTTCTATTATGTATGTAACTTAAATCTCAAAGTTAATATGCTCTTTTTGTCCCACTCTACATGAAGATATTATTATTTAGGCCGTCAAACAACTTTTTTCTTTAAATTCAACTTTCTCAATCCTTTTATAAAAGGTTTTGAATTACTAGTTATGTTAATCTAGCTATAATATTTTTCATGTGATTTGTAAAAATGTACTAATTAATTTTTCTTAAAACACTATATATTAAGCATTTTGATTCTCATACATGTCAAATTAATTCATATAAATTAAGACAGGATAATATATACTTATTAATTAATTTCTCGGACTTCTACTCTACCTTCTCTCAAAATTAAACAGGTGGTGGATTTCGGGAGGATCAAGAATTATTAGAAATGTGTAGCCCTAATAACAACATTAATGGTACATTACTAAAGAAGAGAATTCGAACCAAATTTAGCCAAGAACACAAGGACAAAATGTTGACATTGGCAGAGAAATTAGGGTGGAAGCTTCAAAGGCATGATGAGGGAGTTGTTCAACAATTGTGTAATGAGATTGGCATCAAAAGACATGTATTCAAGGTTTGGATGCATAATAACAAGCACACACTTGGTAAGAAACTAACTCTTGATTAGTAGCCAACTCAAGAAAGAAAGTGAAGAAAAGGAGATCGATCGGAAAGTGAAGAAAAGGAGATCGGTCGGAATTTTAGTAACTTAGTTGACTTCTGCACTTTTACTTTGTTAATCAGGATTTGATTCCTCACCTTGTAATCCTGTTCACCTACCCCTAAATTTTCTTTAATAAAATTAGAGTAATTTTAAAACTTCTTTAAGGATACGTAAATAAGGAAAAATCTAATAAATAAATAAATTATTTTTTCTTAATTGTAAATGGGCATGATAGAATTTGACTCATCTAACTCAATCAACTTTATATAGATGAATTGGATTGAACTAGACATATTTTCATGGCGGTTAAATTTGGGCACACAAATCAAATCAGTCAATCTAATTAGGACCGAAAATAAGCGTGTAATGCGGAAGCTAGCAAAGAAAATCTCGAAAGACCATGAGTAAGAAGACAAACGAGAAATATACCAAAAGACACTAAGATTTAACGTGATTCGGTCAATCGACCTACATCCGCAAATGAGTGAATTGCTCATCTCCTTTGTGGACGTAGGTCGTATAAAATAAAATTTTAAAATTATATATATAATGTCGAGTTGGTTTGGTCTCGGGTTGATTTTTTTTTTAGTTAAAACCAAACCAACCCAAATATAATCGGATTTTTTTTTCAATACTAAATCAAGTCAAACCAAATTACTAGTCGATTTTTTTTTCGATTTGACTCGATTTATGATTTGATTTGATTTTCGATTCGATTTTATACCCTAGTTGTTATAGTATTGTCTTGACCTTTTAGACAATACTACATATGTTTTCCTAGTATTTTTCTAACTCAAAAATTTGTCATCCTTATTAAAGAAATTCTCTTTTTTATTTCTTTTTGAATATCTTCTTATTCCTATAACTTTACTTACTTTTGAATGTTCAAAATGGAACATGTGGGGACTACAGCAACATAAACAGTACTGTCATGCATTAAATTATTCCCACATGTTTGATTTTCTTGTATGTACTTATTTTTAATTGTTGCTATATATTTTCGATTCGTCATTAAATAATAATATCAATATATATATATATATATATATATATATATATTTAATGTAATTTCACAAATAAAATTTAGAGATTAGTGCGTACGTCGTTTTATTCCTATTTTTGAAAAGGAGGGCTACAATATGAAGACTTCCCATGGAGTCAGTCATTCTAATATTACTCTCGCTAAACAAAATGTTTACCGAAAAAAAGATATAGTTAAATTTGTTATAAAATCAAAGACACACAACTCAATTTAACTCGTTAATTAGTCAACTTAATTAATTACTTAAGATAAGTCAAGAAAAATCTAGAATATTTCGGAGTTGTAAAGAGTTGAAGGAAAATTTCTAGAATGAGTATTCTAGAGAGAAATGTTCTAGAAAAGGTAGTTCTAGAAAAAGATAGTTAAGAATATTCTAGAAGAGAGTAGTATATATGTATCTCTCTAGATTCTTCCATCACCTCCTATAAATAGAAATAGATGTGGTTCATTTGATAAGTAAGTAAGTAACCAAGTAAGTAAGAATGCAAGAGAGCAAACAAGTGTGAGTGCTCAAGTAAGGAGCGTTGTTGAAGCAAGCAACAAGTGGGATCAAGATTGTAAGATCGAAGCGGGTCCTTACTTTGATATAATAAAATTCAAGTTGTGAGAAATCGATTGTGCCAGTCGTCTCCAAACAATAATATTCAACACTATGTCCGATAGAAATGCTCTATCTAAAAATACCATTTTGCGGGCAAACTAATATTTCTCCAAACAATAATATTCAACACTATGTCCGATAGAAATGCTCTATCTAAAAATACCATTTTGCGGGCTAACTAATATTTCTCTATTAATTACGGGAGATGTATATGGTTTTTTCATCTTTTTGTTCTATCTTCGAGATAATTAATGTCAAATATGCCAAGATAGTCAACATACAAAATCAACTTTTAAAAAATAATTACTGTTGTTAGTACGAGAAATAGTTGTTTTGATGTGCCAAAATACCAATTCATGTTTTACGATGCTTCCTAATTTTTCGATGTAAAGATATTACTTTCTTGATTGTGATGTTAACCAACTTTTTATAATAAAGCTAATTTCTTAGTACATTTTTTCTTATGTACAATAAACTTGCATGCTCCTTGAGCCATACTTTGTTTTTTCAAATCATTTTACTTGTTCCTTGAGAAACTAAGTTTTTGACTATATATAATATCTTTATTTATTGTTTTTCAATTATTTATAATCTTAATCTTTCTTCAAAACACTCTCTTTATTTTTTCCTCAATAAATAAATAAATGAAAAAAGTTAAATTCAAGCCAACACAATATGATATATGTGTATGTGTTTTTGATCACATATATTTTCTATGCTAATTAGTCAATGTTTATTATTTTTAAAAATAATAATTATTAAAGACAAAATAGGAAGAATGTACTCAATGATATCTTAGGTTTCTAAAATGACAAATATTTTGGATCGTTTATTTTTAGCAAGGATGACAAATAAAGTGGCCAGGAGGAGATACACCTTTTGTAAATGAATGGAGAAAATAATTCCCAACACACATTTGTAAAATTTTAAAAGAAAAAAACTCATTTATTTATTCCTGAGTAAGAATACTCATAAAAGCTTAAAGTACACAAAATTGATGTACTTACTGCTCTCCTATAATTTGGTAAACAATCATAGTGATTTTAGAAACTAACTGGTATAAACAATAAAGCTTATCTTATCAAAGTTAGGTCTATGATTTCTATTTCATTGGAACTAGAGTGGTCAGAAGCGGCCCAACTCCACCCGGCCCAAGTCTCGCGGGCTAAGAAATTTGATGGGCTAGGTGGGTCAGTCCTTCATTTGGAAGGGCCTGAAAATGCACAACACAACTCAATCCTATAAGTGTCGCGCTAGTTTTTTCTTTTTTTTTCAAACTTAAAATTCTATAATATCAAAAAAAGGGGAAGATTTTCAAATCAAATATGGCAAACAATGTTATTGTTTCAATAAAACTAGCAAAATATTTAGTGTGATAAGCATGTATCTAGGATATTAGATACACGAGATACATGTATCTGGTGTGATCCATCCCAGATACGCGAGCGAGATAGGAGGGAGGCGAGGGCGCGGGATTAGTCTATGTATCTTAGATACATGAGAATCCACTTGGATAGAGTGTATCTAGAATAAATTACACCTAATTTTTAGTTTATGTATCCCGAGATACATGTAACTAGACGCACCAAAATCTGGTAAAATTCATAATATTACAACATAACGTGCATCTAAATAATTATCTCATGCACTAGTGAGATTTCTATAAGTTACCCTTAAATAAATAGTTTTGGCCCATGGACCGACTCCAACCCGGTCTAGATCAAGCCTCAATGGTGAAAGACTTATATGGGACGGACTTATATGCCTTAATTTTAAATGGACTTGAAAAATTCTATCCCAACCCTATCCCAATAATGGGTTAGGTTAGGCCGGTTCCATGGGCAAAGTCCATTTTTACGGCTCTAGTTGGAACTTTGGTTTTTCAATCCGTAAACTTTGAAAGTTGAAATTTAAGAGAAAATTCACCCACACCAACCTTCCTATTCCAGAATCAAAGCTTAACAGTTAACTCATGCAATATCTAAGTACCTAAATAATATTAGAATCAAAACAGTGTGCACTTAAAAAAAATGTAGGAGTAACATCAATACACATTATGTGTTGGTAGGTATTATAGACCGACTAAGATTAATAACAAGTATATAACTACAATTATAAAGAGAGTAAACAGATTCATTACACATAGTCAAACAATAGAATTACAAATCATTGGAGTCATCATAAGTCACTAACATATTTGTATGTATATAAATATAACTACACGTCATCCTTCTAGCATATCATAAAATTACCACTCACTGAATAATTCACAAGTACACAACAATCAAACCAACACTTTGTGTATATAAGTGTATATATTTTTGTATAAAAATAGGTTTGTTCCCTTTTCAATACACTTGTCGAAATACAAATAAATCAATAGAATCATGAAAATCATATTCATCCTGACCTTACAGTTGTACAATCTCTGCATCCTGTCAGCAATCTCTACACTTTCTCAGAAATCATAAGTTTCACTCTCATCTATACACATATGTCAAAGAGTCTTAATCTTGCCTATCTAGTCATGAACTGCAAAGGACCCTAGGTGTCCATGTAACGTACTGACATAGTACACGATCTACCTACACAAATCACTGATCGTCTGTGAGCTTACATCAGACTCAATTACTTATTATCAAACTATAGAATATATTTTTACCGTATCCGCGTATCTCAATATGTCAACTTCTATAATTATCTCCCAAAATAATACATTAAGTATAAGATAATCACAAGTTCACAATTCATAACATCATAGTCAATTGAACGATTCACATGTTTATTCGTGTGAGGATTCATCAATTCAATCATAACCAAACACAAACTATGTTCGAAGGACAATTAACATCTAATACAACCCATATCACATATCAGAAACTAAGCAAAGTCTAAATCTAAGTAAATCGTAATTTACTTCAATCAAAGTTAAATCGTTTGAACCTTCTCTCTTTTAACACCCTCAAAATGTTCAAAGTCTAAGACAAACAAAATATAATAACACGTTAATCATCTATTTTCTCATACGAAGGTCATGGGTGTTCGATCCCATCTAATTCTACCCTTTTGAAGGTCTAACTATTTACTTAAAATTAGTTAATTTTTAATCAAATTAAGGATTTACATGATCATACTAATTTCATGCATGAAGTCTCAGCTCCATTAACCTTTCTTGAGCAGTTCATATGCTTGAAAATCTCATTTTATGGAATTTTTAGGATCCTTAATATCATATAATGACTTTATTCATAATTTTATGCTAGAAGGAAGACCTTAAAAATTTTAAATAAAAACTAATGCGTAATTAAATTAAAGGTCTATGAGTCCTCTTTCAAACGCCATCAAGTTTGCTCCATTTTGAGTTCGAAGTAAGAAGTTATGCTCGTTTTAGTAAGGTTATGTAAGACAGTCGAAATTTCACGGATGGCTATACGACCGGTGAAGTGTTTCACGAACCGTGGAGCCCTAAACGGCTCGTGAAGCCTTCCTTTTAAGGCACTCTGTCACTTTTTCAGATGGGGTCATTTTGGTCTTTCTCATATGTCGTTTTAACCCCTATTCTAAGACTAAACCACGATGTTTTCACCTGATTAAGGGCTTTGAAAGTGTTACTCAGTTCTTTTACATTCATTAACACTTCAAGTCATTAGAGAAAGGTTCCAAGAGGAGAAAAACTAGGGTTTCGAGCGTTCTTCGAGCGTCGTCAATTTCGCTAAGAACTTTATTCTTCCAGGTATGTAAGACTATCATAGTGTTGGACTAGTTCGTCCTCACGCCCTACATCTACTTTCAAATCAGTAAAAGAGTAATCTGGGGTTTCATTCCTTAGATTTGAGTATTCTTAAGATGAATTGATGTTGAGTTCTGAGTTCTTGATTCTTTTTGAAATTTCATTCCTAATTATTGAATTGCTATTGTTTTGCATTGAGATTCTTGAGTTTATTTGTTCATGTCTATATTTCAACATGTGTTGACATCCAATTTTGGATCTCCACAATATAAATTAATCATTCAGCTTCCTAAATTTCAAACTATTTGAAATAATTGACTTTATAAGATTCAAAATATGGTTTCAAGTCATTTTAAGTAGTTTTGTCATTTTACAAATTTTAAAATAATAAATATAATGTTTTGTATAATTTTGTATATAATTAGTATATTTTATGAATATTTGAAAATTGCCTAAAAAGATTTAGTTTTACTTAAATATTTGGTTAATTAATTTAGTTATATAATAGTTTATATTTTCGAGATAATTAGTTTATATTTAAGCTATTTATTTTATTTCGTTAAGATTAAGAAGCTATTTAATTAATTTATATTAATTCGTTTTATTTAATTTTTAGCCGGATTTGGCTAAGTTCCTAATTCAAATCCAACCATCTCTTTATCCCACTTCTTGGACCCTTTTTAGACCAACTTTGGGCCAACCTCACCAGCAGCCCACTTCTCCTTTTAATCCCAGCCCACTCCCTAAAGAAACCCATCAACCAACAATATCAATACCCAGCAGCCCAATCCAATAATAATACCAATACATACACCAACAACAACACAAACAGCAGCAGCGACCCAGACCCCCGAACTCGTTTTCTTCTTCTCCAGAAATTCCAGCGACCAAGAAAATCGCGGACCAGTCCAGCAGTACGTGATCCAGCCCAACGACCCGCAAACCCAGAACCTCAAACCTACCTGAACCGCATCGTCCTCTCCTCTCCCTTATCTTCTCTGTACGGGATTAATCTAGGTGTCGAAATCTGAGAAAATAATCAAAATGGTCCTTGATGTATTGGGGTTGCTTTATTTTGATTCTTAATATATTCTAAGTGATTCAAATAATCCTTAATGTATGACAAAATGTGTTCAATTTAGTCTTTTACCCTAAACTTAACAATTTACCCCCAAAATCTATTAAATATAACTGTGAGGACCACATAACTTACAAAATCCACCATTTTTACCATCTTTATTAGCTCAAAGAAAGAGTTTCATGAATTTTAAAACACCATTTTCTCTAACATCTAACCACACAATTACAAATAGGTCATATTTGCCCTTGTACCCTTAGAAAAGGGTCATATTTACCCTTCGTTATACTTTTTTGATATATTTGCCCCTACCATCCTACTTTGGGCACATATTTGCCCTTGTACAGTTAACTTATCATGACACCATTTTTATAAGCCTATGTGGCGCCTACATGGTGCCTACGTGGCTCCATTGTATATATTTTTATTATAATTAAAATTTTACTTTCTATTTAGTATTCTATCCGACCCATTTAGTAAAATCCGACCCGACCAAAATGAAGACCCATTAACCCAATTTCAATACCCATTAGCCCTAGTTTCTATACTTATCATTCTTGCAACGCTTCATATAGAGAGAAAAGCCATTCATGTCTTGATTTATAGAGAAGATCCAACAATAGGTAAGAGTTTTATTCTTAAATTATCTCTTCGGAACTGTTATCTCTTTACTCTTTTGTATTGTATTTGTTTCTTGAATATTTTCAAAATCTGGACAAAAGATCTCAAAATCTGTATATATCTTCTTTTATTGCAATTAGGATTCGTCAATTTTAGCATTTATAAACTTGATAATTGTAGTGCTTGTTATTTCGTCTATTTTATATCTCTTTACTCTATGATAGAAATTAGGGTTGTCAATTTTTTATATTTATGGGCATTTCGGTAAGTGTTAGTTTATTCTTTTTGGTTTAGGATTTGGTGTTTCGTGATATTTATCCATTTATTTTTAATGTAATTTTTGTCCCCTAATTGAATGACACAATGTGAATATTATAATGTTACTGAGACTTTTTCTTTTTTCATGGTTTGTGGTCCTTGAATGTGTTACTATTTTGTGGTCACATAAGCTCACATGTATTGAAGTCAAACTTAGAGTTTCCAAGGTTGCGACGCATAGCCGATGACATTTTTGAAGAGTCCAAGCAACATAGATGATCACTATACCAAACCATTTGATTAATACACAACATTAACAATAATACGCTATATACATGTCTCGTTTTTTTGTTTTGTTTTGCAGGATATTAAAGATGACCTTGGTGGACATAATCTTCAATTATGGTGGAGAATGGATTAAAAAACCAAATGTCATGTATTCAAAGAAATTAATCGATACTTGGACAGGTTATGATCCTGACCTCCTTTCCTTTTTTGATATCGTAAACGAGTACAACAGTAAGTTTGGATATTTAGGTGTTCAACAACTTATTGTTACCGTTCCCTCTGGTAACTATTACGAGATAGATGGTGATAATGGTATAAAGCAGTTATTGTACTTAGTGTCTGAGGAATTTAAGGTCCTTAACATATATGTTGTAAATGAAGGCGAGGAATTAATAGAAGTTCATAATATTTCTCAACATTCTGAGTCATATGTTGCAACAACTGAAGCTGGTACAACTGAAGCTGGTACAACTGAAGTTGGAACTGACGGTGAGAGTGATAATGAGAGTGATGATAATCATGTCGAGGTAGAATGTGATTCTGATGACTTGAATAAGATTGCCTTTCAAAAAAATAGGATCATTGATGTAACGTTGCTAGATTACAAGGAGTTATGCATAGGTATGAGCTTCAAGGATATACCCGAAGCTAGATTATGCATTAACTTGTATGCTCTTGTAAACAAAAGAAACTTGAAGCAGTTGAAAAGTGATCCATCAAGGTTGAGATATGAGTGTGTTGCAGGATGTTCTTTTTCATTACATATTTCTGGAGATAAAGACATGCCGGGGGTTAGAATAAAAACCTTGAAAAATACGCATGATTGTAACGAAGCATTTGACAATGGAAGGGTTGATCATCTTACAATAGTGTATTATTTAAAGTCTAAATTGCAAAATGACCCAAAGTACATGATCAAGGATATGAGGGATGATTTAAAAGAAAGATTTGATGTCAATATTAGTCATGGTAAGTGCAAGCGAGCTAAGCGATTGATTTTGGAAAAACTTGAAGGAAGCTTTACAGATGATTATAATAGACTTGAGGCTTATGCAAATGAGCTAAGGTCTAGTAATCCAGGAAGTGATGTGATTATAAATATATCGAAGGATGCACTTGCCAATGCAAAACGAAGATTCTTGAGGATGTTCATTTGCTTTCACGCACTTAAAATGGGTTTTAAGGATGGGTTAAGACCCTTTATTGGCTTAGATGGAACCTTTTTAAAAGGGAAAGCCAAGGGCCAATTGTTAACTGCTGTTGGTCAAGATTGTCAGTCCCATAGTTACCTTATTGCCTGGGCTGTTGTTGACAAAGAGACAAAAAGAACATGGAACTGGTTTTTAGGCCATCTTAAAAGGTCATTAGATCTCAGGAGGTGGGTCAAGGAATTGTAACACCACAGAAATTTTTTTGAACTAAGACTCGAACCATTCATCGTAGTGAGTGAGATTTTACCGAGGAATTAAAATTTCTTAAGTGTTAAGGTCACTAGATGTAGCACCTTGAGTTCCAAAAAGAATTAAATTGGAAATAGCAAAATCTGAAATTTTACAAGTTAAGCTAAGTATGAGTTTTGGGTTGACTTCAAACGACCATAACTCCTAGCTCAGGATGATTTAGGCGTTCTACCAGTTACCGTAGGAAACATCTTTGAATGATCTTTCCAACGCCGCCGAGTTTGATAAGTTTCGAGGTCGGATGAGTGAGCTATGACCTTTTGAAGTTAGGTTGTCCAGTTAAGGAAAGTCAAAACCGAGTTTTAGAGGGGTAGTTTGGTCTTTTCCTTAGCAAAACAGATTTAATTCGTTTTTAGTAATATTTTAGGGGTCTAATCTGATTAGGTTCAGTTTTATAATTCTAAAATACACCTAGGGTTTTAGTTGAGAGTTCAAGAAGAGAAAAGAGGAGAAAGAGGAGAAAAGAGGAGAGGATCAAGTGTTCGTCGAGATTTTTGCGTGTTGTAGCGGATTTCGCCATGGATTTGATCCCTAAGAGGTATGTAAGCTTCCATAGTGTTGGGTTCTTTCACCCACACACCAATCATGATTTATTCAGCGTAATTTCGTTCTTGAAATTTAAAGATTAGAGTTCTTGATGAGTTATTGATAAGTGTTCTTGAAGTTTCATTAAGTTTTGAAGTAAGATTCTGCTTAGGTCAACTTTAAACGACCATATCTCTTAGAATATTAAGAGTTACGTGAGCCATAGCCTATCCAATTAAAGGTAATTGAATCTACTTTCCAACCCCACCAGTTTCACGTCAATCCAATATATGAGTAAAAAGTTATGACTATTTTAGTAACCTATACAGTGCTGTTACGAATTAGCCGACGGGAAGATATTTAAAAGAGTCATTTTTGTCTTTTTACCTCCAAGAAACCATAAATGAAATTATTGACTAATAAAAGGCTCAAAACAGTCAGATTTACATCTTCACTCATGAAAATCATAATTTTTGGCTATAGAGATTTTAATAAACTAACTCGAGAATCTCAAGAAAGGTCTTCTTGATTGTTTACCTTCAAGCTAGGGTTTCAAGGCTTCTAATCAAGTTCTTCTTTAAGATTATTAAAGATTCTTCAAGATTCTTCAAGAATCTTGTTCTTCTAGGTATGTAAGGCTATCATAGTGTTGGACTAGTTCGTCCTCACGCCCTACATCTACTTTCAGATCAGAAAAAGAGTAATCTACGATACTTTCCCTAGATTTGAGTATTCTTGAGATAAGTTGATTTTGAGTTCTTGAATTCATGTTTCTTTTAAAAGTTCTATTCCTAATTATCGAATATCTATATTGTTATTGAGATCCTTTATATCATGAATCATAACTCTTGAATTCATAATTCAAATTCAAGAGAGAGTTAAGAGTAGAGTTCAAGAAAGCCTTTGAGTTCAATTGTGAATCCTTTGAGATCAACTATCGATTTGAACTAAGTTTTGAGGAAGTAAGTCAGAGAATGAGAAGAGTCACATACATGAGTTTCATAATGTTATGTAGACTTACGAGTCAAGTCGTTCATGCCCATAAATTCCGCATGAACTCCAGAAGTTGAGTATCTTTGAGAGGAGTAGTATCTTCAAGTTCTAAGTCTTGAGTATTGAGTTCCTAATCCCCTTTGAGATTATATTTCTAAGCATGGGACTATTACATGTTACCCATAAAGTCTTTGAGTTGAATTGTTCATGCCCATAATTCCGCATGAATCCTATAAGTCGAGCAGTCTTGAGAAGAGAAGTATCTTTGAGTCCTTGAGTTGAGTCGTTCATGCTCATAATTCCGCATGAACCCTCTGAGTTGAGCATTCTTGAAATTAGTAGTATCATTGAAGTTCTTGAGTTCCAAGTATTTGAGTTCTATCTATGGTTATTGAAAATCTTGCATTTAGTAGTTCATGTCCATAATTCGGTATGAACCATATTTTAAGAAGTCTTTTACAAACGTTTTAACTTTGTTTAAAGACTTAAGTTTTGAGTTCAGAAAAGAGTAAAGAGTAAAGTTTGAAGTCCTTTTCTTCAAAAGTATATGGGGACTAAGTATTCCCAAAGAGTTTATAAATGTTTTCACATTTAAATAAGAACGGAAACTGAGATTTCCAAAGGGCTTTCGGGCTAGTTTTCAGAAAAGAGTAATAGCTTTCTAAATGAAGCAAGCAGGGAAACTGAGATTTCCAAGATAGCCTTTGAGCTAAGTTTTTGAGCAATTATCTCAAATCAGCAGAAAAAAAGTATGTTTTTAAAACATAAGAGCTAGTATATTTTGGGAGTAGTATTGAGCACCGATATGGGGGAGAGTTCAGACAACTCACAGCCCTCATAAACCATGTAGCCATCATGGGTAGAAAAAGGGTCATACTTTTTAGATGATCCTTTTTCACATAGACTAGTGGATCCATTAGTAGTTCAGGTCCTATACCTTTGGCCGGGTATAGGATGCGCTGGCAGCGTGAGGTAGATCATTGTATCATCACTATAGCTCTTATGTGATGGTTGTCGGTTAGAGAAACTCCCACAGAAGTTATTGTATTTTTATATACATCAGTTTATTGTATTTTTATATACATTTCAGAGTTATGTTGTATCCTTGCATACACATAGATTTGACAGCATGTTTTTAAACAGTTTATTTCTTTATATTGCACTTGTTTTAAATTGCTTTATATTGAAATGAGTTCAGTCATATTTAGTTGAGTATTCAAAGTTGAGTATCCAGAGTTGAGTATCCAGAGTCGAATATCATATCTTTGAGTCGAATATTATATCCTTGAGTTGAGTATCTAATCTCGGAGTTGAGTATCTTATCCTTGAGTACTTCTGAGTTGAGTAAGTTTGAGTAGTTTTGAGTACCCTTGAGTATTCCTTGAGTTGAGTAAGTTTGAGAAGAGGTAAGTATGTTTCATTTCTATCAAGTTTCAAGCTTATGTTTATGTTTTAGAATTCCTCTTACATGCTCGTACATTCCACGTACTGAGCCATTTGGCCTGTATCTTTTCATGATGCAGAAACATGTATTCAGGATCATCAACAGGAGCTTCGTTGATACATCTGAGAGTTCGAGTTAGTTATGGCGAGCCTCCTTGCTTTCGGAGGATTTCATTTACCTTTCAGTTATATCAGTTGTTAAGATGTCGTGGGTCTTGTCCCGACTTCCATCTTTATCAGTTAAAGGCTTCATAGATAGTCAGTACAGTTGAGAAGTCTGTATCATTTATTTTATTAAATGTTTTAAAGACTAAAGTTGCCTTTTTATGGCGAGTTGTATATATTTTATTATACAGAGTTTTCTTTGGACTTAAAGTTTGTATTTAAGTTTTATGAACTTTTATTTCAGTTTTTAAGCTTTGTATGCTTGAATCAGTTTTCCGCTTGTAGTCAGCCAGAATGGGGTTCGCTTAGGGACCAGCAATGGTCTTCGAGTGCCGGCCACGTTCAGGGTGTAGGCTCGGGTCGTGACAGGAATAACGTTCATTTCAGACATGCAGAAGGTAACATATCTGAATTATTTTTTCCAGCTAATTCTTTTTTACATTAACTTTTAAGTTCATTTCTAAAGCTTCAATCGCTGTCCAGTTCTTTCATTTTACTTCTGTCCAAAACTTAAAATTGAAGAATTGTCCAATTCTTAAATTAAAATTGTGGTCAGAAGTAAAATGAAAGCACTAGACAGGTCCTTCATTCCAGTTCTGGACATTACTAAAATGAAAAAATAGAAATTCATTCTTTTTGTTAATTTTATCATACAGGGATTACTTCAAGCAATGAAAGATGTGTTTCTTGAATCACATCACAGATTTTGTGCAAAACATGTTGAAGTAAACTGGTGCAAAACATGGAGGTCAGGGGAACTGCAGAAGGTATTTTGGTGGTTCATGGACCACATATGAGGAAGATTTCAAAGACAAACTCAATATGATTTGTTCTTTAGATAAAACAGAAGGTATTTTGGTGGTGTTCATGGACCACATATGAGGAAGATTTCAAAGACAAACTCAATATGATTTGTTCTTTAGATAAAACAGCAGCTGAAGATTTACTGAAATATCCTCCCAATGTGTGCTGTAGAGCCTATTTTGACACCGTGTGCAAGAACTATGAAGTGGTGAACAATTTCACAGAATCGGTGAATAAATGGATTCTAGAAGCTAGAGGCAAACCAATCATCAAAATTCTTGAAGAAATCAGAATTAAAGTCATGAACCAATTGAGAAAAAGGGACGATGAAGTGAGATTTTGGGCTACTGAGTTTAGCCCAAATAGTATGCAATTGTTCAATGAGTACATGAAAATTGCTCAAAAATGTAAGGTTAATTTCAATGGTGATTATGGATATGAGATCACAGAAGGTTGTGATAGGCATACTGTAAATATGATTTTCAAGAGATGCACATGTAGACAATGAGATCTAAATGGAATTCCATGCCCACATGCAATTTCTGCAATGTTGTACAACAAGTTGGACCCTTTGAGTGAAATGAGTTGGTGGTATAGCAAAGAGGCATTCCTGCTTACCTATAGGCACAAATTGCAACCTGTTAGAAGTGAAAAAATTTGGAAGGTGAATCCACATCAAGCAATGGAACCACCTGATCTAGTGAAGATGGTCGGCAGACCCAAAACTAAACGGGTCAGAAAAAAAAGATGAGGCAATTAAGAGGCAAGGCGAGTGGGCAAGTTCAAGAAAGGGAAGAGTTATGACATGTAACAGTTGCGGAGAGCCAAACCACAACAGTAAAGGATGTAAAAAGGTAAAATATCTTCAATGCTAATAGCAACTTACTTTTTTCCTAAAGTTTGATTTCTAACTTGTATTTTTTACCTACAATAGCTTGTCAATACAAAGCCAATGAAAAGAACCAGGAAATTAATTGATGAACCTGAAGAGATAAACCTAACAGCACCCCAATCAACCCAAGCAAGCCAAGTTGTGAACTTCATGTCTACACCAACAGTGATGCATCATGCACCACAGTTTTCAGGTCTAAGACCAAACATTCCAAGTAAGACGCCAGATTTTGAGTTATTTGAAACTTCAAAGCAAAGATCAAGCAAGCCAGATGCTACTACATTGCAACATACCGTTCATCCAGATTTGACAATCAACTTCCCAAATCATGATCCAGATCCTACTATAAGGCCAATGGTAGTGTCAGAAAATGCAATATTCTGAGCCAGGCAAGAAGGACCAATTCCTTCTGGAACAAGGATTATTAACTTTGTTGGTGATCACAATGGAGTGAGTGTTCTTTCAAATCTTCCCTACTCACCAACCAACCTCACATGGAAGGGAAAAACTGCTATAACTCAAGGTCAATTGGAGATGCAAAATAGGCAAAATATTAAGAAACTGAAGCCAAGAAGAGGACAAAAGTGATCTATTGGGTTGAAAAATATTTTTGTTATGTTTCATGGGTTTTAATTACTGATTATGACAATACTTTTTAGTTAATGTCTTTTCAGTTTACTCTTTTTTTATGGTGAACATTGAACATGAATTTCACATTATGCCACTTTATATTAGTTATGATGTAGTTGTCCTGTTGTTGCTGAAAATAGTGGTTAGATTGTGAAATGTTAACATGCTGAAATGGTGTTTAATCTGCAACTACATTTTGTGTGTATGTGTTTGTATTTGTGCAGAGCTCTATTATGCTGAAGTAGCTATTTTAATTGTCTTGTATTGGCTAGATAATTTATATGAATGCAGTATTTTGACATTGGAACATATAAGTTGTGATCCTTTAGATTTAGAAGTCTATTTTTGTGATCCTTTAGATTTAGAAGTCTATTTTGAACTCTAAATTCTAATTGTCTTGTTGTTTGCATGTCTTTTATTGCTTTCATGGCTGTGACGGCCTCTGCACTCTTATCAGGCTACAAGTTATGCAAAAGGATCATATGGTGATGAACTGGGAATTGAACCTGCAGCCTTCAACTCCAAAATTGATATGTGACTTATAATTAGACGTTACGATTCTCAGAGTGCAATAAGCTTTCCTGTAATAGCTAGTAAAGTTTCCCATAATCACATTATCATATATTGTACATTGGACACAAGACACATCTTGCTAGTAATGCTGAAGTTGAACATTCGATATGAATAAATTACACTAATTTTTTTGTGAACTATCATACACAAATCGGTATTTCTTATGTATTTTCATACACAAAGATATGTCATATTTACATAAACAATACCAAGCTAACTTGCATAAGCATAATAAGAAGCTAATGGAAGAAGCAAAATGCATAGCAGATGAAACTAAATACCTCACCAAAAAACAGAAAACAAAATCACAAAAACCAACACCAAACTACTGGAGTTAGAGACAGAAAAAACCAACTAATGTACACAAAAAAGAACATGATATGTTACTAGGTCTCTATCTCAAGAAGGGAATTGATTGAGGTGTTGCTAAACCTCTGTGCAAGACCTCAGATGACAAGGACGACAATATCACAGAGGTGCCGAGTCTGTACCAGCAAATCCACTTCACTCTCACTGTCCACCACAATTCGTAACTGTATCAAAATTCAAACTTCTCACTCTCGCTTACTCGGTAACTAAAGATGTAAAACTAAAGCGACGGACAAGAAACCCGACCAATTAGCAGAATCAAGACATGAATGACTCTTTTCTCTGTATCAAAGCCTTCAATCTAAGTTGTCTCTGCATTTTTTCTTTTCGCGCGCTAATTGACATGTTTATTTCCACACACAGTTTTGCTTCTCAACAATCTTTTCTCTAGGACTTCTTCTGAGATATTACGAGCGACGGGAGAAAACTGAAGACCATTGTCTCTGTATTATCTTTGTTTTAATGGGTAAAGTGGTATGAGAGAGTGGATATTAGAATCGGGTTAATGGTTGGGTCAAATTTTACTAAATGGGTCGAATATAATACTAAATAGAAAGTAATTTTTTTATTATAATAAAAATATATACACATGGAGCCATGTAGGCGCCACATAGGCTTATAAAAATGGTGTCATGATAAGTTAACTGTACAAGGGCAAATATGTGCCCAAAGTAGGATGGTAGGGGCAAATATATCAAAAAAGTATAACGAAGGGTAAATAATGACCTTTTTCTAAGGGTACAAGGGCAAATATGACCCTTTTCCGTTTATATATTAGTTATCATGAGTTAGGATTCATTAGATTGATGGTGGAAATTTTGTTCATCTTGACTAAAATCTAGTTACTGTTTTGCTCAAAAGATGTGGAAAGTGCTTGGTCTTCTCTTTGTCTTTTCAATTTGAATTTTTCAGCTCTTGATTGGTTGTTGTCCTCTTTATTTCCATGTGTTGAAGGTAATAAGTTTGCATGTGTTAACTTCCTCATTTGTAGCCATGATTCCCTGAGGTGTTAATATGTTTTTTTTTAAGGAGGTCACTGGTCGTATTGTGAATTTTGGTTTCTTAATGGATTGTCCTCATTGCAATTGAGTTGAATTAATATGATTATTATTATCATATACTAATTCATTATTTTTCTTGTTGTATGTGATATTTCGAGAGAATTCATTCGGATTTGATTTTTTTCCCATTTGCATTTCTAGTTGGGCCATGGAGGCCCCAAGCGCGAGTCATTTGCGATCCAGTATAGTTCAAATCATATCAGCAGCGAAATACAGGTCCTCGAAAGTCGATATACAGGTGTTCAAGAGTCCAAGAAGGGTTGTATACACGTTGTATACATCAATATATGCAAGAAATACAGAAATATACAGTGATACACACTCACTATATACACTGTATAAAAGCAGCGAAAATGGGCCCCAAAAGCCCCAATTTCAGTTTTCGTACTGTATTGTAATTGGGCAAAAAGCCCATTTATTTTTAATTATCATTACCTTGTTAGTTTGTAGGACATGTGGATTTGGGCCAAAGGCCCAAAACGAAATTAGGCCCAAGTACTGACCCCAGACGGACAGAAAACCAGACTTGGGCCCAAATCTCTTTCCTTTTAGCATCCAGACGTCTTGGTTATTTACTTGCTATTATTTACTAATAATTTTAAGGTTTTCGAAATTAAATTCCCCAAAAGAATAACCGTTTTGTGTTAACTACTAAAAATTAAACACATTTATTTTTACTTGACTTAAGAATATTTACCTAAATATTATCCTTATAACATTTTCCCTTTCCCCCCTTAGTTATTTTAAACTCTTAAGTTGTTAATTTCCTAAAGTCATTAAGCAAGCTTATCTTTTAAAAGTATTAGTCAAATAGTTAATTATCGAATAACCGCATATTAGCGGACATTTCGGGTGCTTTCAAACCCTTCCCGAAATGCTAATAAGAACTCCAAACCCCCTTTAAATATTTTTCAATTGATTTCCTGTTTTAATCTTTTGAAGAATCAGTTTTCTTAATTTTACCTTAAAAATTAAGTGGCGATTCTTATAGTTATGTTTTTTAAATAAAACAACATGAATACTATTAATTGAGTATTCTTGAGATGAGTAGTATCATTGAGTTCTGAGTTCTAAGTATTGAGTTTTTCTATATTGTTTTGAGATCCTTGAGTTGAGTTGTTCATGTCTATATTTCAGCATGAACCCTATTTTGAGTTATAAATTTTGAGAATCTTTTAAAGACAATATTTTTGTCTGAAATTGAGTTTTTGAGAAAATAAAAAGGAATATTAGAAAGAGTTTTAACCAAGATTTGAGCAAGAGTATAAGGCAACTAAGTATTTCCCAAGTGTTTTATTTTTACATGAAGAAAGAGTGTATTATTTTGAGAAAAGTAAAAGAGTTTTTAGAAAGATTGAGTACAGAGCAATTACCTCTTAAAAGGCCTTTTTGAGTAGTTATCTAACCAAGAGAAAATGTTTTTACATTGAGCAAAGAGAAACCTTATTCTCTAAATGAGCAATGAGTTTAGAGATATTTCAGAGCAGTTACCTCTTTTAAGAGGATAGTTTGAGCAATTATCTCAAACCAGAGAAAATGTATGTTTTATACATTTGAGCATCAGTATATATATTATTGAGAGTAGTATTAAACACCGATATAGAGATGAGTTTAGACAACTCAAAATACTCATAAATCATGTCTTGCCAACATGGGTACAAGATCTACATTTTAGATGAATCTTTATTGCTTAGTGGATACACTTAGTTGAGAGGTCTCATACCTCGACAAGGTATAGGGCAGTTCTGACGGCATGACCAAGACATTGTATCATTATGTAGGTCATAGTGATGGTTGTCGATTAGAGAATCTCCCAATAAAGTTAAAGTGTATTTTAATATATCACTTATTATGTTGAGTTCAGAGATGAGTAAGTATTTTGTAAAGCTTTAAATGACTTAATTCCTATATTTCTTTACATTCAACATATTGTTATCTATTGCAGTCCTTTCACTCAATTATTTCGCTTCAGCTATATTACACATTCGTACATTCACATGTACTGATGTCATTCAACGTGCATCTTTTTTATGATGCAGATACAGGTGTTCAAGATCATCAACAGACGATTCGTTGAGATCACTCTACACTTCAACTAGTTTTTTGTGAGCCACCTTGCATTCCGGAGTACTTTACATTTATTTTCTA